GGGAGCCTCCCCAGTGATGCGCCCGGGGAGCGGGATGGCACGTCTGGTGACTGTCACTGACGGTCTCACCTTCTCCAGCCGGATCCTCTCCCCACACGCGACGTCTAATTCATTGTCAATTAAAATCAGGTCCTCGGAGGTCACCTTCCACTGGTGGCTGGCAAAGTGCACCACGGCGAAGAGCCTGCCGTACTGGCCGGTGGCGATCAGCTCGTTCACCTTTCCCACAACCTCTGGGGGGGGGGGGGAGAGGGAGAGTCAGGACCGGGCCGGGTCGGTCAGCTACTCATGACCGGGACGGCAGCCGCTCCACCCCACCTGGCCCCAGCCGCTGTGACCGTGGTACAGGACCACGTGGCCCCTGCTCCCTCTCAGCGGGACAGGAAGCTTCCCCGGCAGCTGGCACCCTCGAAAGGGGAGCTCACAGCCGGGGGGGCTGCTTCCTCTCCCTGCTGCGGGAAGTGTCAGCCCGCTGTTCCCAGGAGCACAGGCACTCGGGGCACGTGGGGCTTTTCCAGACCAAGTCCCCAACCCCATACGATACCCCGCTCTGGCCTGAGCACTGTCTCTCTGACTCTGGGGAGGACAAACCTTCACCCTGTTTGATTCCCCATCTTTACTAAGAAAAGGCCAGAGGACTGGCAAAGCGAAAGGAGAGACTGTTTTGCAGGTAAGGAAAAGCTAGAACTATGCCGCATAGCATTGGGGTCTACCTGGAAGCTTCTGCCCACACAGCTCCCTGCTTCTGCTGCTCCGGCTCGGGTCACAGACCCTGCGGAGCCCTGACCCACCAGCCTGCGCGGGGCTGGGTGCGCAGGGGAGGAAGACATCCTTCCTGCCCTGAAAGCGGAGTCCAGGCCGGAAGCCGCATCGAGGAAGGGCAGGACGCTGTTTAGCTGGCGTGGCCTCTCAAAGACGCCACCTGCTACCCTGCGTGTCTAGCTCTGTAAAAAACACCGAGGGTGCCGCGCTCCCTCATGGCAGCCACGGCGGCCGGCCACACCGTCCCTCCTCACGGCCACAAGCCCCGGGCGGACACCCGTCCCGACACCCCGACGGTTTCTCCAACGCCCAGGACGGCAGGGGCTCCCGCTGCCCACTGTGCACCCTGTTCTTCTGATCGCAGACAGATCTGTCCCTGACCCTGTGCTCCTACCAGCGGCGGGAAGCACGGATGGCCCGGGGGCCCCTCCCTCACTTACGCAGCCTGCCCTGAACGTGCTCGGTGCTCAGGAGTATTTGCTAAGTGAACGACGGTTTAACTTTTTGTGCTCGGTGGCGAAAATGGGCCTGAGCATTCACACTGGGCCTCAGAGCGCCCGGCGACGCGACGTCCTGTCTGCGGCCAGGTGACCGCCTCTGTCAGGGAGGGGGGCACCGCCCTCCAGCTGCTGCCCCCGTTACCTGCGTGCTGTCTGGTCTCCTCAGCTGGGTCTGGCAGAACAATTTCTGGCCAAGGCGGTGAACTCAGCGACGTTTCAGGAACGTACCTGTAAAACGTTTTCACACGTGTGCGTCACCGTTCAGAATCTGTAAGACGGGGTTGCGCTCCCAAGCCCGGGGGCTGGGAGGGGGGGGCACGGCAAGTGCAAACTCATGGC